ATGAGCAAGAAATAATAATGTTAACTGTGGGCTTTTCATATATGGCCTTTATTGTGCTAAAGTAAGTTCCTTTTATGTGTATTTTGCTGAGAATTTTAATCGTGAATGGATGTTGAACTTTGTCAAATGCTTTTCCTGTGTCCATTGAAATGATCATATGGGTTTTTTTTCTCATTTTGTTAATGTGAAATGATGTGAAATAATGTGTCACATCGATTTGCATATGTTGAACTACCTTGCATCCCAGGGATAAAGCCCACTTAATCTTGGTGTCTGATCCTTTTAATGTGTTTTTAAATTTGGTTTGCTAGTATTTTATCAAAGATTTTTGCATGTGTTCATCAAGGATATTGGCCTGTTGTTTTCTTTTCTTGTGATGTCTTTGTCTGTTTTTGGTATCAGGGTGATGCTGGCCTCAAATGAGTTTAGATGTGTTCCCTCTTCTATTTTTTGGAAGACTGTAAAGATTGATATTAATTCTTTTTTGAACCTTTTGTGGAATGTGCCTGTGAAGCCATGCATCTGGACTTTTCTTTGTTGGGAGGTTTTTGATTACTGACTCAATTTCTTTATCTTTTATTGGTCTGTTTAGACTTTCTATTCCTTCTTGGTAGAAAGAAGGAATAATTTGGTAGATTGTATGTTAACAATTTGGTAGATTGTATGTTTCTAGGAATTTACCCATTTCTTCTGGGTTATCTAGTTTGTTGACATATAATTATCCATTATAGTGCCTTATCCGTATTTCTAAGGCATCTGTTGTAATGTCTCCTCTTTCATTTCTGATTTTATTTATTTTAGTCTTCTCTTTTTTCCTTAGTGTTGCTTAGTGTTTGTTGAGTTTATCTTTTCAAGAAACCAACTCTTAGTTCTGTTGATTTTTTTCCTACGTTTTAAATTCTATTTATTTCTGCTCTAATCTTTTTTATTTCCTTCCTTCTGCTAATTTGGGGCTTATTTTGTTCTTTCTCTAGTTCCTTGAGGTGTAAAGTTCGATTGTTTGCTTTGAGATTTTTTTTTTAATATAGGCCTTTATCATTATAAACTTCCCTCTTAGTACTGCTTTTATTGCATTCCATAAGTTTTGGTGTGTTGTATTTTCATTTTCTTTTGTCTTAGGTACTTTCTAAATTTTCATTTGATTTCCACTTTGACCCAATGGTTGTTCAAGAGTGTGGAGTTTAGTTTTCACATATTTGTGGATTTTTCCATTTTTTGCTCTTACTGATTTCTAGTTTTATTCCATTGTGGTCAGGAAAAATGGAATGATTTCAATCTTCTTAAAATTAAGATTTGTTTTGTGACCTAACATGTGATCTATTCTGGAAAGAGTTCCATGTGCACTTGAGAACATGTATTCTTCTGCTGTTGAGTAGAAGGTTCTGTATATGTCTGTTAGTTCCCTTTAGTTTGTGGTGTTGTTCTAGTCAGCTGTTTATTGATTTTCTGTGTGGATGTTCTATCCATTATTATAAGTGGGATATTGAAGTCCCCTACTATTGTATTGCTTTCAAGTTCTCCCTTCAGGTCTGTTAATATTTGCTTTATATATTTAGGTGCTCTGATGTTAGGTGCATTTATATCTTTAACTGTTATATCTTCCTAGTTAATTGACCCTTTTGTCATTATATATAATACCTTTGTCTCTAGACACAGGTTTTGACTGAAAGGCTTATCTGATATAAGTAAGCCATCTCTGCTTTCTTTTGGTTACCATTTACACGGAATATTTTTTTCTATACCTTCACTTTCAATCTATATGTGTCTTTAAATCTAAAATGACTCTCATAGACGGCATATCTCTGGATCTTGTTTTTCGTTTTGTTGTTTTTTTATCCATTCAGCTCTGTGCCTTTTGATTGGGAATTTAATCCATTTACTCCCCCCCCCGCCCCAACACCACCACCACCATCACCCCCCCCCGCCACCCCCCGGTTATTCTATTATGCATCAGCTTTGAGAACCATAGATAGAGTGTTGGCACAATAGATAGTCTCAAAGATTCTTAAACTCGGCTCTTGGACAGGTAGAAAGATGGGAGGTGTCAAGAACTCCTTAAATTTGAGGATTTAAAAAAATCAGATTCTTGAGGGGATACAGCAAAGATTAAGAACTATCGTATTCAACCTTTATGTGAGTGGATAATTCCATATTTTTATAGGTCAGAAGTTGGTTGGTGCTTATTAATTTGTTCGATAAAAATTTATTGAGTACTCCCATCAACAAAGCTAGCCAAGTGATTAGTGCAACTAGAGAAATGGTAGATTCGTAAATGACCATAATTCAACAAAAAAAGTGCACTTTTGGGGGCTTTTGATACAGTGTCAAATTGCCCTCAGAAGTATTCCCATTTATAATTTCTCCAGCTATATGAGAATATCAACACAATGACATTTTAATATCTAAAACTGACAGTGTCATCTTGGTGCAGTCATTAATTCTAAGCTGAACTTCTAAATTGCTTTCGGTTGCCACTTTATATTATTCAGAAATTCCAGCATATTACATAACTGTCATTTACCAGTTTTCATCTGTCGATCTTTTCTCTAAAATAAGTTGATTCGAGGTTTGCCAATAGTATCTTTGTGTGCGAATTGTCTGTTTTCTGCATCTTTTTTCAAAATTTTGGAGTTGGGTTTTTATTTTTATACAACTTTTGGATGACAGTTTATGCCAGTACCCCAGGATCTGTCTTCCTTGCATTTTAGTTAACTGGAATTCAAGTACAAAGAGGAATTAGGAGAAAAAAGAGGACGGTTTATTTCCCTCACACAAAACACTCTCATTCTAAGGACTGACCAGTGAGGCCTAGCAGACGGTTCCAAATCTTCCAGTGACTGGTCAGATGGAGGAAATCCTCTGATAGAAAATCAGATGCTGTGACCAGCCTACAGTTGGAAGGCTTTCTATCACAGAAAGAAAGAAGAAAATTCTGTTGTTATATTCAAGGCAAACCCATGCTACTAAATCCTTCCCTTCGTGCATGCGCAGAATGTTTCTAGAGAGATTTTCAAGGAACTGGTGATAGCAGTTGTCCATAGGGAGCTGAAGTGGGAGGAAAATTCATGCTGTATACATTTGTACTGTTTGAATTATATACCATATATGTTTTATTTTTTCAAAACTTTTTAAAGCTAGTTATTTTTTAAAAGCTTTCTCACCCATGGTTATGTCAAATGTTAATATTAGAAGAAACTGGGTAAAGAGTATATGGGTGAAGAGTAATATCTTCGCAACTCTTCTATAAATCTAAATTTATTTAAAAACAAAATTTAAAAACAAGAATAGGGTGGGAGGGAATACTGTCTTCCTATACAGAATCCTGTCCCATTAGGCAATCTACCCTCTAGTCATGTCATTTCTTTTAAAGAGTTTCCTCCTCTTTAATTCTGCTGACCTCCTAATTAACAAATACAATACAACTCTCTTAGCCATTTTTGTTTTTATTAATATCAATTATTTCATATTTTATAATGAACATTAGCTGGCAGATACCTATCAATGTTCACAACAAATGAGGGGGGAAAACATTCTTTGAATATATTGCTTTTAAGACTTCAACCAAGCTGTGGACTAGATGCCCACCTGTGGGTCAGTGAGCTGGCAGGGAGGGAAGGCGTCACTTAAAAGTATACCTTGCCAGGACCTTAAACTTTTAAAGCCATTTTTTTCTCAACTTGTGCTCCTGGTAAAAATGCAGATGAGTCTACTTGTTTGGCAAGCACCCTGAATGATCTTGATTCCCTATAAAATCGAGTTTCAGGAAGAATCATCTGAGAGACAGAGAGAGAGAGACTTGAAGGATGAAGGGACTGCAGAGGCAAGGTGACCAGGAGGCTGTCGCCAGTGTTTAGGTGGGAGAAAACAGGGTCTGAAATGCTGCAGTAGAGAAGGGAATGGAGAGAGAGGGCAGATGCAGAAGTGAGATTGAGTTGGTGATCCAGGTGCGTGGATGACAGAAGTTCCAGGCAGAATCAGGAGACTCTTCTAAGTCTCTTTGAGGGGGCAAATTATGATATTAATGAAGGGAAAGCCATGCTTTGATGGGGTGAATTTCTTGAGGCCAGTAATTGATTTTGCTTGCCTTTGATTCACAGGTGACTGTCCTGCATACAAATTATTTACTGAGTGCCTACTCAGTGCCAGGCACTGGGGACACAGTCCCTGCTCCCACAGAGATTACATTCAAGTAGAGGGGGACAGATTATACATACACAAATAAATACATATTGTATATGTCAAGTAGATAAGTCCATGAAGAAAAATGAAGTAGATTAAGGGGATGGAGAAATGGATAATAGAAGCCTTGAAATGCTATTTTAGGTAGGGTAGTCAATAAAAGCTTCTTTGAGGAAGTAACATTTGAGAGACTCGAATGAAATAAGGAATAAAATGAGCCGGACAGATATCTGTGGGTAGGGCAATCTAGCAGAGGGAACATTAAAGGTGATGGCCCTGAGGGATAGAGAAAGGCTTGCTGTCAAGAGACAACAAGAAGGCCAGTGTAGCTGGAACTGAGTGAGGAGAGTGGGAGGTGATGAGGTCGGTATAATTTTGAAGAAGGCTTATAGGAAAATATGTTGGTAACAGGAGCATCCTGACAAAGCAAGCTTGTTGCTATATAGAGAAATGGGAGTTAATAGAACACTATAGAACTTTATTTCCTACTAGCTCTACAGGAGAGGGCTAAATGTGAAATGGTTAAAAGAACATTGATCCAGAAGTGGGGACATGTGGCTCCTGTATTAGTCTTCCCTTTTGCCCCATGTTAATTGCTTCACTTATTTTATTACTCTTTTCTGGAAGTGCAGAATCGGTTCCTTCTAGCACTCTTGGGGGCATTTTGGAGGCAACGCTCAGAAAGGCCTCAGGCTTCTCGGAGCAGGGTGGAGACACTGGGTCAGTTAAATCAGACACAAAGATGCTATGACTTGGTCTGCCCCAGAGGGACGTTCACTTCTTTCCCTCATTCTAACCTCAACCTCTCTTCTTCCAAGCAGGATTGGTTGTCATGGTCCCTGCTGCTTCTCTTCCTCATGTGTGAAACAAGAGCCTTCTATGTCCCTGGGGTGGCACCAATCAACTTCCACCAGAACGACCCTGTTGAAATCAAGGTCAGTGCATTTCTGGACTGTTAGAGCCTCTGCGCTGGGCATTCCGGCTGGAGGACTGTGGTGAGCTGGTCACATCCCTCCTGTGGTTGCAGAGAACAAAGACCAGTGCCAGTTACCCTGGGAAAAATAGAGTTCACTGAGTGCTGCGTGGGCTGGAGGTAGAGTGCCCTCAGGAGCCTGCGGTCCCCGGAACTCTGCCTCTTCATCTCTCTCTGTCCCCTTGTCTCTCTCCATGCCTTTGGCTCTCTGCATCTCTGTCTGTGTGAGTGTGTTCTTTCTCTGTGTCCCTCTCTTCTTTCTCTTTGTCTCTGGCTCTGTCTCCATTTCTGTTTCTTTCTGTGTCTCTCTTTCTCTCTCACTTTCACTTTCATATATGTTTCTTTCTTTCTCTCTTTCTCCCCTTCCTCCCCCTGTACCCCCCCTCTCATACCTCCATGTCTTTTCATGTCTCTGTCTCTCTCACCCTGCCTCCTCTATGACATCTCTGCCTCCCTCTTTTATCTACTCCATCCTCCTCTCTTATCAGCTTTCTCTGCATAACTTATATTGTCTGTACATACACAGCCTATTGTGCTTCTGTTTTTTCAATTTTAGCTTCTGCCACCAGCGAGATTCTCCAGTTCAGTATTACCAAACTATGTACTGCAAATCTGAGTGGTGTGATATATGAGATGATTTTAAGTGGTTGACAAATATATTTTATTTTAATGGCTATTTTCTTTTAATGTATATTAGAAAATACAGCTAGTACTTCGACTTATGATTTCATGGCTGCTATTGTTGGTTTTCTATCTTTAATACTGACATAATGTTTGCTTCTTAAGTAAATGTATTTACCAAAAAAATGAGTCAGATCCAAGTAAATAGTAGAGTAAGTGGTAAGTAGATAGGGCAAGTTGGTACATGAATGATTAGGATTTGGGAAACATTGCCCTAAATCAGAAACCAGCGAGAAGACTTCCAACTGGGCCACCTCACCTTTTCAGGCTAGATGCCCACCTGTGGGTCAGTGAGCTGGCAGAAAGGGAGGGAGTCACTTAAAATACGGTTAACCAGGGGCAATGGGCAGGCTGATAATGTCTCTAAGACAGTGGACCTTTGGTGGCATTATCAGAGCCCCAAGAAGGGCTGGGTAGTTAATAGTGAATCTTATTAGTTCTGGTGTCCTTGGTGGAGAGTTAGTGCAGATTTATTGGGCAGGCTCTCAGGGCCAGCACTTGGAGAGAGTGAGGGAAGCAGGACTGGGCAGAGGTAGACATTGAGCTGTGGTATAGCTGAGGCCTGTGGGAAGCTCTGGAACTGGAATGGCTAGCCCTTCAGAGTTGTTCCAAATTGAGGCAAGAGGACCAGCTCTCTTTATCCCGCGATGGACCAGTCATTGGATACAGACTGCTGCCAGAGAAGGGGTGTAACCTCGTACAGGGGCTCCCTAAAAAGACCCCTTTACTATCACCCAAATACAACCACTCAATACTTTAGTCTGTTTCTCTTAGTCTTTTTTTCTGTGCAATGTTTACAGTGTAGGATACTTGGCATTCTTATACCTCCATAGACCCCCCCCAACTTCTTCACTACCACATCAGTCCCCCCTAGATAAAATAATGTATAGTTGAAAATTTTAAGTCTGTCTTTCAAATCTTTAGTGATTCTATAAAAAAGGCTGGCAATACTTATAAAGTTATGAAAATAAATTCTCCTAAAATAAATGTACATTTCTTGTTCCATTACCATGTTGATGTGAACCACATCTTTACTAGTCAGTGCAAAAACAAAGCAGTAAAATTGTATGAAAATAAAGATTTTATTTTGTCCTGAGCATCACAACATTCAAAAGGAGAAGCAGAAGACATGAAAGTCACAAAGGGCTATACATGCTGTCATGTATATGTCCCTTTGTTTGCCAAATTTTAGGTGTTAGCAAAATTTCAAATTGCTACATGTCATGCTCATTTGGAGCATCAATTATAAGCAACTTCTGATTATCCAGAGGGAGTTAACCAGTTTAGAGATTAAAAGTCTAAATAATACATTCATGAAAAAATGAAATTGGGGGTGGCTTCATAGTGTAGTGGTTAGCACTTCTACTTTACACGCAGAAGGTCCTGGGTTCGCACCCCAGGTGGAGCCACATACCATACCCCAAGGGCGCCAGGCCCCAGGTGCACCCTGCAAGCATGTGGGAGGAGACGCCTCGCCTTCGGAGATCCAGTTCTTAAGGGGAAACAGCAACATCCATAGGTCAGGGGTGGAAGGGGGCGGGGAATTAAAGGTTGAAGGGGAATGAAATCGTCATAAATCAAATTCTAAAAGGGCAGAAAACTTATTTACAATAGTCTCTCTTATCTACGGGGATACATTTTAAGACCCCCCCAGTGGGTGCCTGAAACTGCGGATAGTCCCAAATGCCACATATACCATGTTTTTTTCTGTATACACATACATACACTTTACAGCTTCTCTTTTGCATATCTGAAGCCAACATCACTACTCTTGCACTTTGGGCCATTATTAAGTAAAATAAGGATTACTTGAACACAAGCACTGCAATGCTGCTAAAGTTGATCTGCCAACTGATGGGCAGGTAGCATATACAGTGTGGATATGCTAGACAAAGGGATGATTCATGACCGGGCACAATGAGTGGAACAGCGTTGAGATTTCATCACACTACTCAGAACGGCGTGCAATTTAAAACTTATGAATTGTTTACTTACGGAATTTTCAATTTAATATTTTCAGACCACAATCTGTGGGTAACTGAAACTCTGGAAAGCGAACCTACAGACAAGGGAGGACTACTGTAAATGTAGCATTACGCATGTTGCATTATTTATTGAGAGCATCTTTCTTGTAACTTTCAGGCACAGGGATTACAGTAACATTTATTGAGAATTATTTATGTGCCAAGCATTATGCATGGCTTAGCTCAGGATGCCTCC